AACACATTCTACAGCACACATGGTTATACTATATTGGATATTTCAGGGACATGTTTGACATTAATCACCTTTCACATAGATACTTTAAAGGGTATTAGGATTCATTTGGTAAAGCAGAAGTGTCCCTTCATTTCACTTTTTCATAATAAATTTGGACTGTACAAAGAAAAGCATTTCTTCATACGAAACAATTTGCTTTACTTAACTATACAGCTATTAAAGAGTTGTGGTATGCATTGGTACGGTTCTTTAGCTCAGGGACTGTCTTCTTATCTATCAATATTTCATTTCAAAGGCTTTTTAATTTCAGCTCTGCATATCATTTACAGAATTTGAAAAATGAGATTTGGATTCAGAAAACCCTTGGGGAATTGGTCTCACTTCTCTCTTCAAAAACATCTGATGATTAAAGTTAATGCAGAGAGATTAGTAACCTTAAGACAGCATGATGGCCAGTTGTTAGAATTTTTATCTCTAACAAACAAATGGTTTATATTTAGAGCAAGAGCTTGAAAAGCTAGCCCCTGGCCTGAACCATAAAGCAATGCTACAGCACATAGTGCTTCATCACTACTCACATGTTGAAGGATTTTCTATCTTTTATTGTCTAGAAGAATTTGAGATTCAAGATCTTCCCTGTTCAATACCCCTTCCTTCTTTCCCTCTTCCACAGTTACTGGACCTGGGATGTTCAAAAATGCTGATATTTTTCATTCATCTGTTAAACAACATAATGGGGGTGTGGGGGTGTGGTGTGGTTTCTACTCCACTATTACTATTCCCTCACTGGCTATATTTAATTTGTTATTCCAGTGATACTGCAAGCCCATCACATTAAAAATTTAATTTAAGGGAAATGACAGCTTAATCTGCTAACTAAAGGCACATGACTAATAATTTTAAAAATCACAGTAATTATGTAATATTTGCATTGTTTTATGGAGAAGTGCAGCTAGATACCAGCTTCGTTTCCACACCAATGAAAATTTCATGCAATTGGGTCATTGTATCCACGAGGGAAGACTTGATTTGCGCTGTTACATGCCACTAAGGCTACGAATCAGTCACCTCCACCTAATACTTAAAACAGACCTTTATTAAAAACTGATTAACAGTAATAATTCCTGCGTTTATCCCTCCACTTCCACACACAAACTCCCCCTCCTGCACATTCTCCTCTGCTGCTGCTCCCACCTGCCTTCTCAGCGCAAGAGCACCCATTTGCAAGCCGTAGGGACTCTGCCCCAGAAGAGGTCCCCCCATGGAGCTGAGCACAGCACTCCCACCATCAGGAGATGTTACAGCCATACAAATGGTTATTCTCAGGGTTCCCACTGATTTTAAGAAGAAACCCAAGTTAAAAGGCATACCATGCTCAAGAGATGGGTCCAGTCACCACCTCGAAAGCAGGCAGGCTAGCCATATCGCAAAGACTTTGCAGTACGGAGAGTGATCAGTGGACAGGTTAAAATGTGAAGCAGTTTTAATCATCTTGGTCAAATTCTGAGTAGAAAAATCTCCACTTCACTCTCTACCATCAGTGACTTTAATACCTAGACTAGGAGGATGACCTTTCCTTCCTTTTTTTCCTCTGGGGAAAATGTGACAGACCAGGCAAAGTTTTCAATTCCCATTGCACAGGAGGACAGAAGATCTTCTGTCCAAAAGACAATCATTGCAGTGAGTCAATATTTTAAAAGTATGTATGCGCGTATACCTCTAAGTGGTTCATAGGCATGGTATTAATGCAGACCTGGCTCGTTTGAGGCCAGGACACTGGTCTAGTAATAGACTTTGACCCAGCCAGGAACACATGGGCTCACCTCTCAGTGGAACAAGGCTGACAGGATAGGGCACGCTTCTCAGCAGCAGTGGGGAGACAGGGAGAGGCTTGTATCATCTAGCAAATACACCCGAGACCCAATTTTGTAAGGACCATCCCCAAATGAAATGCTCTTTACCCCTCTTTCAATAGGACTCTGACAC